GCTTAGAGTGTAATGTTTACCTGGAGCCTGGAGTTTTTCGTCATCCTGGCAAGTCCCGCCAGGATGTTCCGGAAGAAGAAGGTCGACGAATTTACCAAGAAGTACTTAGTGTGGCCTGTGGATGCGGCAAATTCAGCAAGCCCTACATAACGACCGGTACCATCAACGGCTAAATATATAAAGAAGAATGCCTCCAAAAGCGCCTACCGCCTATCGTGCCATTACGCGAAACCGGTGATGGAGTGGTACGAAGCCAATGATGTTGTTTTTGTGCCGAAGGAGGCAAATCCGCCAGAACTTCGCCCAATAGAAAAATTCTGGGTGATTATGAAGGGCTAGCTCCGGAAAACAGGGAAGGTCTTCAAAAACGACAAGGATTTGAAGAAAAAGTGGATGAAAGTGTGTAAGAAAGAAGGCTCAAAGGTTGCATAGGATTTGATGGCTAGCGTTAAGTCCAATATGCGGGCATTTAGCTTAGGAGAGGAGGTTGAATAAAACAACTTTGCAAAAACATAACTAATATGTGTTTATTTATTCCCTGAGAGTTTCAAAAATATCCGACTTAAAATTAATTTTTGGTTATCATTTTTGTCGGTTGCATTTTTTTTTTTTTTTCGAGTACAGTATTTAGCTAGATCGCGTATGATCTGGTGATTTGATCTCAGACAGGTGTCTCTAAACCTTTCGAGGCTGAGCGTACTCCGCTCCTCTAGTGTCTGAAGTCCAGCCAGGCGGTGGATCTCAGAAATTCGAGTCCACGGGGGACTGTTGAGGATCATCCTACGGATCTTGTTCTGGATTCTTTGAAGTTTAAGGTGATGGCACTTAGCACAGCTCTCCCAGATTTGCGTTCCGTACTCAATGGCGGAGCGGATGATTTGCTTGTGGACGGCAAGCTTGTTTTTAAGGGAAAGCATGGACTTTCTGTTGATAAGTGGGTAGAGCGACCTAAACAAGATGTTGCACTTGGTGGATGTTTTGTCCACATGGGAACGCAACAGCAACTTGCTATCAAGGGTGAGACCAAGGTAGACACTGGAAACTGGATTCCTGCCTTGCATGTTGCTCTTGGCCCCGTCGTCAGACGCTATCTGGCTGCTAAAGACTGTACTCGAAAAAAGTGAGACACATTGATTAGTTTGTAACTTTTTAGCGTGTGGGTAAAAATTGATGAAATTTTGATTGAAACTAGTGAAGAGTGTAATGCGTACGCTGGTAGAATTTCATCGCAATCTGTCAATTGCTTATCAAGATGGCATCGGAGCAAGAGCAGATCTGCCAAAAAATCTTGTGAGCCGTCGTAGAAACACCTGGGAATCCATCTTTCAACGATTTCCTGAAAACCAAAGACAGCTGACCCGGTGAAGGCCAGGAAGGTGTTGAGTCTGTTCAAGCGTCGGCCGAATCTTTCGATCTGCGATGCGGCGAAGAAGGCGGATGTTTCCATCGTGTTTGTCCAAAAAATGATGAAACGTGCCGGCATTCACGTCTACAAGGTGCGGAAGGCACCGAACCGGAACGACAAACAAAGCACGGTGTCCAAAACCCACGCCAGGAAGCTGTACCAGGAGTGGCTGACGTAACCGAAGTGCGTCGTGATGGACGACGAGTCTTACATCAAGGCGGACACAAAGTAAGGAAGAAGAAGGTGGACAAATTCGCCAAAAAGTTCTAGGTTTGGCAGGCCATCTGGGGGTGCGGCAGTTTACTCCCTGAGAGTTTGAAGAAAATCCGACTAACAATGAATTTTTGGCGACCATTTTTGTGTGTCTCACTTTTTTCGAGTACAGTCTTTAATATAGTGTAAACAGCTTGGTTAAACGGCTTTCTAGGCCTTAACTACTCTAACGACTACGATGTAATCTGCCCAACGTTACGGCCATGGGTTGTGGCCCTTCTCCTTTGAAAAAGGCCACAACCCGTAGCCGAAACGTCCGGCAGATTACATCGTAGTCGTTAGAGCAGTTAAAACTCGGAGAACCGGTAAACCAATCAATTCCCTCAAGCCCCATCATTAAGATATAGCAATCTTTCGAACTTTCTCCACTGTTTGCCTTGCAAAGGAAAAGTTGGAAGGGTTGTTTGTTTTGATATCCAACGATTTGGTCTTGCTGACTTTGATGGTATGACCCGCCGCAGATGAACATTTGGCTAGATCGTTGAGCTTACTCTGCATATCAGAGCACCGTTGTGCTAATAGAGCAACATCATCAGCCAAATCGAAGCCGTTGAGATGATCCATCGTGATATGCTGCCAAAGTAGCCCACGTTTCGGTAAACGGTCAATCGCAGCTATCAAGATCAGTGATAGCATACATCCTTGTCTCACACACTCCGGGTAGGTTCGGACAAGGCTTCATAATGGAGGACTCTGCACGAGAAAGCCACGTATTACGCTGCGACAAGGTTTACGAATTTATCTGGGACTACCTTGAGTCGGTCGAAAGCTTTTTTTCGTAGTCCATGAATATCAAATACAGGGTCTCTTAGAATTCATTAACCTGCTCCAGGATGATACAAAGCGTGATAATGTCTTTCGGCACGAACTTCTGCCTGCTGCCGTTGGAGAGTCACGTTGATCTTCTCCCGTATCCGATTCAGCTAAAAGTATACACCTAAAACAAACATATTATCGACTGACTAAAGACTGACTAAAAGTTAATTGGTACGCACAAAAAGACCTGTAATTCGTGATTCAATAAGTTTAAAAAGTCCATTGATGGTTGTTTTACAGTAGTTTTATTAAAACTTCAAAGTTACAGCATTAGTTGGTTACAATTTCTCCAGTTCGAACGAAATCTCGAACCTTCCTCTTCATGGAGCCCATCAGCGCCCGCACAGGGGAAACGGACACGGAATCAGCGCATTTCTTCCATTTTGCCCCTATGCTTGCAGATGAACGGCAATGCAACGGCATTCTTCGATGTAAACTTGGGATGTCATCGTCGAGGATGTGACGAATGGTTCCGTTTTCAGGCCACAACTGCAAATCGCTTGCCAAATCATGGCCTTCTTCGCGAACTTGTCGGCAAACACGAACTTGAATCTTCCCGGCACATCCCCACGTCCAGTCGCGATGCGAAACTTTTGACAGGGAAGTTGCTTAAAATCGAGTTTGACTTACACCGTGTCCAATATATTCTCATACAAATTCAAACATCGATTATTTCACATCAGTTATTCAGATTTTATTAGTAATTGTGCTTATTGAAAGGTAACATAGTATGGATCAATTACAGCATATGCTTCGGAATAACACCGCCTTTAACCTTTTTGACCAGCTTCAAACGTTTTTCAAACCCATCGCAAGCGGCACGCACGACTTCCATCGGCATTTCGTCCCAAATTCGAAGGATTACGGCTTTAAACTGAACCAAAGTGGACACCTTGTGTTCGTTTATTTTTGACAGCACATAAAATAATCCAAGGGGCTTAGATCTGGTGAACTGGGAGGACATTCATCCTTGGCCAAAAAGTCGATAAAAACAAGCGGTAGCTTGCCGCGCTTGCAAATACCTCCCCATACCATCACGGAAGCGGCGCTTTGGAACCGTGGAATGTTTCTGTCCCTATCTGGGATGTCTCTGGACCTACACGCCCACAACCTGTCGTTTTGGACATTGTGAGACTGCTGCAGGACAAATAACTTTTCATCGGAAAAGAAAAAGTCTCGTCCAGCGTGCCGCGATAGTAGGAGAGTTGCTCTTTCAAGCCGTTTCTTCTTGGAAGGTTCCGAAACTCCGTGAACTTTAAGTTTCTTGAAAGCTTGGCATCCCAGGTCCTGCTTGAGTACATTGTGCATGGTCGATTTCGAGACATTGAGATCAGCGGCCATTTTACGTACAGAGCGTTGTGATTTTCGTCGAACTCGTTCCCTGACGGTCTTAATCACTCGTTCAGTCCTAGCTGAACGTCTTCGGCCGGATCTTTTCCGGTCATCTAACGAGGAAGTCTCACGGTACCTTCTAATGGTTCGATACACAAAATCCCGCTTTACTCCCAGATTCTGCAAACTCTTGAAAATAGCGCCAGGGCGCTCTCCTTTCAAAAACTTTTTTATTACCACAGCACGAAATTCTTTCATCGTTGATAAAAGATGGATACTGAATGAAAATAAGCAAACAGAACCGTCAATGGTTTGTGTAAACACAGTGCAAGATTACACCAATCCATATAAAGTGTATGAACTGTAGCTTCACCACTACGACAAGATGAAAAGGTGTATGAGAATATATTGGACACGGTGTATATTTCATCATCGATCAAACTGCAGCCCTTGTGTTTCGACAAAACACGGTCGTACAAGAGCCTGGTATGCTTTTTGGCCACGGAATTCTGCTTCATGTGCCGGTTCGCATGTTTACTGGTTTTGTACGACTTGTATCCTTCCCTGGCAAGGATGTTCCGCACCGTTTGAAAGTTGGCGTTGTACCTTTTGGCCACATCTCGGATCGAAAGACCGGGGTTGGCTTTAACGCACCTCAACACCTCGCGCAGCTGACGATCTCTGGTTCCAGTTTTTTCTTAGGTCCACTGATTCCTTTCCATACTCAGGGTTTCCTTGTAGGTTTTGAGCACTAGACAAACTGTTGTTTTCGGCATCTTCGGCACTTTAGGCAGCTTGGAACCGGACCACTCCGGACTTTCCAGGTGTTTGTGCACAATATTTTTTCTTTCGAGTTCCATTTGACGTTATTTCTGAACGCGATCGACTACTTTGATCGAACTTGCATCAGTTGTTCTCTATAGAAGTGTAAACAAACCACTGTCAAATATTTTCGATTCCCAACACTAGAGGCGTGCTAGCAGTGCGCGAGGGGTGTACCAATTTACTTTTAGTCAGCCTTTATAAAATCAGCATAACATGATCAGGGAACCTTATTGATTTTAAAGGATTTTCGAAAACTTGACTTGACCACTGTCTGTTAGAAATGTTGTAAGAGCAAATATACAAATATGTTTCGATTCTAACTTGCATACTTCATTCCATCTTTTCGCAGATCAAACTCGTCGACGTGGAGAAGGTCGAGTGGTTGAACCGCCGGTCGTACAGTGTAATTGGCTTGCTTCTCGGAGCACGAGAGGGTCGTGTCTTATTGCGCTGCGACCAGGGTCTCGAGGATTGGTTCGAGCTGCTGGAGGAATGCACCCTGAGCAGCAAGGAGCGTCGTCGTGCCCTTCGCTTGACGCAGGGGCCCCGATCGCGTGCCTCGCTTGCCGCTCCGGTGTCGCATACCTCGCTGCAGACCAACCATCTCGGCCTCGGTGGAACCTACTCGGGTGCGATCGAAGACTGGCTCATGTCCCGGCACCACAAGACGTCCAGCAACCATCACCATCTGCACTTCCTGCATTCGGATTCGGTTCCCGATCTGAGCACCATCAACGAGAACGGTCTCATCAGTGGAATGTTGACGAATCATTCGACACCGAAGAAGGTTCCCAATGCGAGACACAACTTCATCGGGAGCAACTCCAACGGCTACAACAGCCACAATGGAAGCTACAGCAATGGATTCCCGTACTCGCCGCTGAAGAAGCTGTCGGATAACTTCATCAACGGAAATAGCACCTACATCATCAACGACGAGGATGAAGAAGTCGAACTGCGACGAGGTGGTCGCTACAGGGACAGCGATGACCTCTATCGGCGACCACTGGGACCATCCGGTAATGACAGTAATAGACATTCATGTGAGTCGCTTTGAGTCTATCTATCTTGGAATCTCATAATACATGTTTCCTTTTCCAGTATTAACAGATGTGGACTTCTCGGCTTGTGATAGTGGCCTGGATACGCCACCGTCGACCCATCGTCCGTCCAGCTGTCGGGACAACGTGTACATGATTGCGGCCTACAACCATCACAACCAAAGCATCAGCAAGGATAAAACCACCGACACTGGAATCAGTTCCTCGCGCGGTACGTTGGTATCGCCGGCCAACAGCATCCGCCACGGTTTCCTCAACAACAACAACAACAACCATATGAACAGTTATGGATCGAGGTATGATAGTTTATCGTCTTCATCCGAGGAGTTGAACATGACACTAGTTAACTGTTTGAATTCCAGATATAGCGTACAGGAGCAGAAGATCCTACGGGCACGTAATAACCCGGAGGAGAACAAGAATTCCATCCGGTCCATTCGGGCCGAATTCTTCGAGCAGAACAAATACAATAACAACAACAACAACAACAACACCAATGGGCAGCACTACCACCAACTGGCACAACAGCAGGGAAGCAATAGCAATATTCACCAGTTGCAACAGCAGCAGCTACAGCAGCATCAATTGCAACATCAACATCAACATCAACAGCAACAGCAACATCAACATCAACAGCAACAGCAGCATCACAGTAACGGGCTGAACAACAACACCAACGGACACTACCATTACAATGGCAACAGTATTAATGGTAGCGTCAACGGAAATGGGACGGCGGCATTACGCGATCGCTATCAGCATCCGGCACTTGCGGCCATCATCAACGAATCGCAGGGGATAAAGTTCCGAGGTGAGTGTGACTTGGTCCAACCATATTAGCTAACTTCCTAACCAAGCCGCTCGTTGCCCATTACAGATCGTTCCTACTCGGATTGCCAGCAGGTGCCGCGCCGACAGTGGACCAGCAATACGCCCAGTCCCAAACGCATTCCATACCTTGGAACACCGCCGACCCGGGTCTAACTTGGAGAACATGAAACCTGAAGTTCCTTCAGACTAGAAAATCCAAATGCTACACCGAATTTCAAACTCTCAAACCATTAACGAAAGTAAAAAACAAACAAACATAGTGAGTGATTAATTTTCGAACCTACCGATAGTAGTAGCAGTAGGTCCACCCACATCGGAATAATCCTAACTCTGTAGAATTTGTAGTAGAGTACCGCATTAGTCGCAAACGTTTTTATATCCTCGTAGAATCGATAACCGAACCGGAATTAGTTCTTCTCGTAGTTTAGGCTTTCGATGCAATTCTTGTACTATCGTGTGTTCGTAGCGATTCTATTGGCGCGTAAGATCCATTGAATTTCCTGACTGCCGCAGTGCTGGTGTTGACGGAGATAAACATATCATCGAGTGATTTGAGCGCGTTTCCTAAAGTAACTAAGTAAGATTAGTGATTTCCGCGTTCGAATTTGAATTAGACTACTTTTACCCCTTCTATTATTAGAACAATAAGAAAAGCGAAAGCTTGAAGCTTTTTAGCTCGAACAAATAATCAAAACGATTCGTATACTCCCCCCGTAGGCATTACCAATCAAAACGGCAACGGTTCGTGGGGAAGCTCACGAACCAATAAACGATCTGAAATTTTACAGTTTTAAAAACCTTTTAGGAAGAGCATTTTGCTGAAATAAAAAAAGTTAGGTTGTTATTAGTTTTGAATGAAAAAAAATAACAGTTTTAGAAGAGAGTTGAAATCTAAATTTCCCCAAATGTGCTTTGTTGAGGTCGCTTATTGAGCATTTGAGAAAAAAAAAATCGGTTTTAATGTAGATTTATACTGTCAAAGTAGAACTTTGTAATGTGTTAAAAATTGTTGCGCAGTGTGCTTATTCAGTCCGTTCTCCCCAGTAATCTAGAGATCCGAAGAATGAAGAAACGAAGAAACAAAACCAAGTGTTCACATAGATTCTAACATGTGCGTGTAAAAACGTACAAAATCGAACAGGGGTTAACCGGTTTAGGTGATTATTTTTTTCGTGCGCAAAATACATTCGTAGAATAATTCATGTTTAGGTGATATACAAATAAAATCGAAAATCAAATTGTTTGAGTGGTTGAGGTTCTACAACAATCCGAATGCCTTAGTTGTGGGACTGTTTGAATTTTGCCACACCGCCGTTCAATCTAAATCAGTTACTAAGTAGAATTGTAATGATATTTCTTTTCTCTTACGGAAATATTACTCAATTCTCATAAAAACTGGAGCTACACATAGCTCTGTGTAACTCTAGTTTTCATGATAACAGCCAGGACCGGGAAGAACTGCATACGTACAAAGTGCAGAACGTGCCCCGTAACGTGGGTAGATCACCTTTTCGTGGTACGTTATGGGATGTAAGATCTATTACCGATTCCTAGTCCTGACAACTTCAAACTTGGGGAACAGGATTTTTCAGTAATCAAAGGAACACATCTTAGTCCTTGTTACTTTTTATGCCTTGTTGATAGTTACAAGACTCGGCTTTGTCCACCGAGGGTGATCTTGAAACAAGGGAAAAATGCGTTAGTTAATCTTCATCTATGTGATTCCTAATCTTCTATTCGTTGTTCCCTAGTTTGAAGTGGTTAAGACTAGGGTTCTGATGCATGGTCATTATCGATGTCATTGTTTAATTTTGTTGCTAAGGAATCCAATTTTGACTGACAAATGGGCGTGCCTTTGGAGGGTATAAATAGCGGGACCTTTCAATTAGAGTCGGATCCTTGCGATAAATGCGAGAATGACAACTGTATAAAAATCGAATACTTCATCATTTCTCAATATTGATGGAGTAATACGACATGCATTAAACTAAGGACACGGGATATACAGTGGTGTTATGTCCCGAACAGCGGAAAAAAAAGTGCAGAAGGCTCCAAATCGTGACGAACTGCAAAATACGGTGGGTAAGCTACGGGCCCAGAAACTGTACACCCAGATGCAGACGAAGCCTTATTGTCTCATCATGGATGATGAGACTTACGTCAAGGCGGATTTTCGGCAGCTTTCGGGGCTACTGTTCTTCACCGCCCAGCACAAGTTTGATGTTTCGGAGAAAGTAAGGAAGCAGAAACGTTCAAAGTTTGCCAAGAAATACATGATTTGGCAATCGATTTGCTCATGTGCGAAACGGAGTGCGCCATTCGTGACTACCGGGACTGTTAACGTGGAGATCTACCTCAAGGAGTGTCTACAGAAGCGTCTGCTTCCTCTGTTGAAGCAACACGAGAGCCCTACGATCTTTTGGCCGGATCTAGCTTCGTGCCACTATTCAAAATATTGTCCTGGAGTGATACGAAGCCAACGGGGTCGACCTCCCCCCCCCCCCTCCCCAACGCACCCGAAATAAATGTCCATCGAAAAATACTGGGCTATTATGAAGCAGGCACTACAGAAGCATCCCAAGGAGGTCAAATCTGAGGAAGACATGAAGAAAAAGTGGGTTTCCGTACAGAATAAGCTGCAGCGAGAGCTGCATCCAGATGTTGTACAGAGCCTAATGAGTGGAGTTAAGCGTAAGGTGCGAGCGTACGGATATGGTATTGAAGTTGAATGAAATAAATATGCCAAAAGCTTACTGATGGGTTATATTTTATTGTCTGAAAGTTTGAAAAGGATCGGTCAACTAGGTTATTTTCTACAGCGTTTTTTCCGTGATGCAATTTGATGTGGGACACCCTTGAGCAATATTTCCAAGAGAGAAAAAGACATATAGGATGTCAGAAAGTATAAACACAGTTTATTATTGGAATAAAACAACGAAATGTTAGTGAACTCAAATTTGTATTTTATATATATATATATATACAGCAATTCCATAGAAAAAAGTTATAGTGGGTCTCAGAATTTCATGAAAATTGGTATAGTTCTTCCTTATCAAAAAATATTAGACTCGTATTTTTTTATTGCGCCATTAGGGTGACCATTTCCGTGTTAGGGTGGTCCAAAAAATCATTTTTTTTTCAAAAATGTCTTTTTTCAAAAATTTCTGAACCTCTTAACCGATTTTTACGATTGACCCTTCAAATGAAAGATGTTTTAATGTAGTTTTAAGAAAAATTATGAAACACTCAGAGATATTTGATTTTGTAGGAAAAAAATATGTTACAAATGCTTTTTCTTGATTTTCACTGCGAGGGTCTTCAACAACTTCTTATTTTAGTATTTTTTATTGAAAGATCATTTAATTTTACATAACATATCATAAGCTTAGCGATGTCGGAGAAGCAGTTTTGGAGATACAATTTTTTTAAAATAAAAAATTATTGTTCCGCAATATATGCACCACACGTGCATGGAAACGATGAAGACGCAAGGTAGTTCACAATGCGTCTCCATCGAGTCACAGCAGCTGTGACTAATGAAATCTATGAGTAACTTACAAGCTGGGTGCAACATTCAGTTCAACCTGCGGGCCGTCCATAAACCACGTAGACCAAGTTTTAAACATTGCAGATCCTACCTTTCCCTTCGTATACTCAAATTTTAAAGCGTTTCGTTTCAATACTCCTCCCATAGGGCCTTTTCCATGACAAGTTGCGAAAAAATGCCACACGGCAGCAATGCCAAAATTTTTTCGCATGTTGCATCAGTACCTAAGAGTCCAAGCTGTACCTCATAGGTATATCACTCGTTCGTAGGCAATGACTTTTACATAAGCTCCAGCCCAATAGGCTTCGCGGTGTTAGTGACATTTGGAAATGTTTGGTGGTGTTTGTATTTATTCGCAATATTCATCTATTTACCTGAAACAGCTGTTTGAAGTGACGTCATTGCTTACGAACAGGTGATATACCTATGAGTTACAGCTTAGACTCGTAGGTATATCACTCACTCGTAGGTACGATATAATGCTTCACATAAAACAACGAATGTTATGAAAGAAATGATCAGTTAGAAATCAAAGTTTCCTACTAGAACAGTTGAATTGAAGAATATCTAAAAATGAAACGTAAGTGTTCAATGTGTGATGTTTGGATGTTGAGTTCATGTGCCAGAAAAATCACCAATAAATTGTACGATTATGCAGTGGAAAAAAAGATTAAAATAGATGAGAGTAGCTCCTTCATTTGTCAACGATGCTACCACAAACTATATGAACCCAATGATGCCGTGACCGAAGAAACCGTTGCAGGACCATCCAGAATCGCTGCTGCAGGTACGTTATTTGAAAATTCATGTGATTCTTCTTTAAATTTCAATTCTTTTCTTCTAACTACTAACTTAAACTCTTATTTTTTGCAATCATTTTTCAGAGTCCATCGAAGCAACCAGCATTGAATCAATTTCCGTTGCGGGACCGTCCAGAATGGTTCCTTTTCCCTGCCAAGGTAAATAATAAAAAATAAATCATTTGTATGTTTTTTTTTCTAATAATCAATCATTTTTTATATTTATTTTCAGAATCAGTGGAAACAACCAGTTCTGAATCGATCGTTACCACCTACAACGCACCTTTGTCGGACGAAAATGAATTCCTTATACAACTTAAGGATAAATATAAAGAAACAAGAGACAGCAATGAGCGATACAGGATTTTAACCACACTTCCCAAAAGTTGGTCTACATATAGAATTATGAAGGAGTTCAATGTTTCCCAACATATGGCCAACCAAGCAAAAGCACTGCAGCAAGAGAAAGGAATAATGTCGGTGCCTGTAAAGAGGTTAAGCAGAGCTTCATTAGGAGAACCAACGATAATGCTTGTTCGTGATTTTTACAATAGTGACGATATAAGTCGTGTTTGTCCGGGGAAAAGAGATTATTTAATATCTAAAAATGATGAAGGCGAAATCTACGTACAAAGAAGATTAGTTTTGTGTAACTTGCAGGAGGCGTACTCCATCTTTAAAAATACATATTCTGATATTAAAATAGGATTTTCCATGTTCGCCAGTAACCGTCCGAAACACTGCATTTTGGCAGGGACAAGTGGCACGCATACCGTATGCGTTTGTATATATCATCAGAACGTTAAACTTATTTTTAAAACACTACAAAGCAGACAATCACTCCCAGATGGTGTTGATTCCTATCACGATTTGTTTAAAAAAATAATTTGTCAAAATCCAAGTGAACAATGCTGGCTGCAGTGTTGCAAAAATTGTTCAGGAACGCAAATTTTGGCCACAGAACTAATGACTATTCTTAGTAACGGACATGTTGAATCAATACAATTCAAACAATGGCGTCAAGTAGAGAGATGCATTATGGACTTAGTTGAAATGGACACACAGGAATTTATTGATACTTTTTTTAGAAAAATTATTCAATTTATTGCCGCATAACTTTATAGCTGAGCAACAGGCAAATTACATGAAACACGTCAAAAGCAATTTGAAAGCTACAGAATGCATCATAATCTGTGATTTTTCGGAGAATTATTCTTTCGTTGTGCAGGATGCAGTTCAAGGCTTTCATTGGGCGAACGCCCAATGTATTATTCACCCTTGTGCTATTTATTTTAAAGACGAAGAATCTAACGATTTGAAATTTACTAGTTTTATTGCAATTGCTGATTTCACTAAACATAATCATGTCGCAGTTCGTTTATTTCTTACGCATTGTCTAGCGTTCATAAAATGTAAATTGCTAAGCTTACAACAGATTTACTTTTTCTCAGATGGATCAGATGCCGAGTGGAATTTTTTCGCAACTTGTCATGGAAAGGGCCCTTGTGATGCTTTGGGAGGAGTATTAAAACGAAACGCTGCGAAAGCGAGTTTGCAAGGCCACCATATAACAACGGCCCAAGAACTTTACTCATGGGCTATTTCTAAACCAGATTCAAAAATACACTATCAGTTTTTTTCGGAATCCGATTACAATAAAATGGAAAGAAAATTGAAAAACCGTTATATACATGTGAACCAAATTTCGGGGACACAGTCATTCCATAGTTTTAAGCCTCAAAACGAAAAGTATATTATTGTCAAACGGTATTAATTTTCAACGGAAGAAAAATGTGTGAAATTGTAATTAAAGAAAATAAATGCTTCATGTTTTACTTATTTT